AGTATAAGCCGAGGCGGCTTTTTTCAGCTCAAAAAGTGGGCTGAAAAACTAGGCTTATACTTGAGTATATACAGTAGTTGTTCTTTGCTGGATTCCACAGCATTCCAGCACATTCCTGTAGCCAAAGGAATTTTAAAAAGACAATATTCTTGATACATTTCTAGATTGATTATCAAGGGAAATGTTTCAGTTGATTGTTCTTCAAAAGGTTCAGTATCATGCAGATACTATCCGTAGATTGTCTGGTCTATAGATTAAAACTTTGAGGTCAGAAGACACTTGATTTCCCCTTGTATACTTACAGTTTCATTGTGCCCTAGCATGTGTTCTGGGACTTAATCATCTTAGTCAATTGTACAGCCATGATATATAAATGTGTATCTCTCTTCCTCTTTCCAAGGCACTAAAGACCCCAGCAGGAACCGTTACAAGCTCTTTCTAGAATGTACTTTAATACTAACCTCGGTTGTTCCCCCTGAACTTCCCATTGAGCTCTCCTTAGCCGTCAACACCTCACTCATTGCTCTTGCCAAATTATGTAAGTTCCAAGACTCATGGGAGTATGAGATTGCAAACTTTAAAAGTGTTAAAGTTTAAAGAGAATGATATTTCTGATTCTGGGAAACACCCGTCTTTTATACTACAAATTGCTTTGCTTATTGACTTAATTGACTGGGACATTGTGGTTTGTGACACTGTGGCCTTAAATGTAAAAAAATGTGGTTTGTAAAACTATTAGCAAACTGTAAAGAGCTTTCAAGTATTTCCTTCACCGGATCAACAAAGCAACTGAAATCTTCCCTTGTAATCTCATATGAAGTTAAGATGACATGAGGAGTTTTCACTTCGCACTCCTACTACTTGCCCTAATGCAACCTCTCCAGAATATTGAGCTGACACTCCCAGAATTTGTCACAAAGCATGGACAACAGTTCTAGGAATAGTAATTTAACACTCAACAGTGGTAAAAGTTTGTGAAATCATTTTGAACTATTTGTAGTCTGCAGAATTGTAACTTACAATGGGCCAAGTCCTGTTAATGGACAAAGAGATTCTAGTTAAATAAAGAATACGGACAGAGAACTATGCCACATTTTCACGGAACACACCGAGCCGATGTTAATTAGCGAAAAATATATGAGTTTGGTTAGGGGAGAAATTAATTGTGATTTTTAGTCAATGAGTGGCCTTCCCCTGTTAAAAAAATATCCCATGGTGTTGGTTGCTGCTATTAGAATATGTTCTTTGCTGCATACATTTCTGGATGAACAAACCTCAATTAGAAGAGATCTCCAAGATCTCTCTTGTTGATGCTTATAACACTGCAAGGGCTACAGAACCATTGCCAAGGATGTTGGCTTCTATGAATCCACATTTAGGCAGTTAATGTGGCAATGGAGAATCTGTTAAGACAGGACATCCAAGGGAAGATGGCCAATTGAGGACAGCTCCTCAGATAAGCAGAACTAACAATTTGCAACCTCCTACAAAAAAGCCAAAGTAGATTAGCTCCTTTTGATCTCTGGCTTAAAGAGAACAGCCTGAGGTTGCACAAGCAGTTTCTCCTTATGGTCCTTACAAAAGAACCTGTTTAAGGCGCTAAAGAAATTTGTAATAAGGATTAACAAACCCTGGAATGATTATAGAGAAAGACTGTTTTGTATAAAAGAAAAACAAAGACTATAAAGTTGACTTTATTCGATCAGGGATAACAATTGATACGTTGTTATTCTGGTGGATTTTTTTCTGTTTTTAATAGTATCTTACTTCATTTGACTAAAATGGATATGATGTAAAAGGTTTTTCAAGTAAATAATTATGTAATTCTAATGTTATGATACTTAAATTGGCTTTTACACTTGTTTTTCTTTAACTAAAGTAAGGAAGTTTGGAATTATTTTAAAGGAGAAATTATTTCTTTTTGCTATGTTTAACTTTGAAGGGGGGTTGCCTCTGCTAGGATAGTGGGTGCATTTTATACTTGTGAAATATGGATATGCCTATAGAGTGAAGATATGGCACCTGCATTTGAAGATAAGACATTATGTAGAATATTGCCTATTGGGCTCCTATTTTTATAAAGAGGAAATGGTCCCTTTTTGTTTTGTTTTGTTAAATTTGGGTTTTTTAATTTTGTTTACATCAAAACGCTGGGACCATTTCATGACTTTTAAATGGGATTTTGTTATAGTTATGTTGAATTTTAAATATGCTAATTGTTAAAATCTTAGAGCTCTAGTGGATCTTTTGCTGTGTTTTACCTATTATTAAGAAATAGTTTATGGATTAAGCATTTTATATTTGTCAGTTAAGAGGAAGAGATTAGGATTATTCTTGCCACGAAGAGGTTAGGGAGTCATTTTCTTGGCAGGGAGTTCTTTTTATATATTTTTCTTGCTATTCTCCCCCCTCCCTTTTTTAAAATTTCTATTTTTACTGTTTTATTTAAACGTTCAATACAAGTATTTGTGTGTGGGGAGATTATGCCAAGTGACTTTTACTCTTTCTAAGAATAATCAATCAATAATCAATCCCAAGAGGCGGACAATCCCAGATAGCAGCTAAAGAATCTGAAGACAACTTTTGTACTGCCGGATGCCCCTATTCAGAAATCCACCATAAGGAGATCTCTGAAGAAAAATGCAAGGACGTTAGGGGGGAAATCTCTGCTGCCCATAAAGAATTGTTCCATTATTCTCATGTTTGTCAAACATCGCCTGGTTATTGGAAAGTATTCTGTGGACAGATGAGTTGAGTTTTTTGGCATTACTGAGAACTATTATGCTTAGAGAAAATGAAAAACTGCACTCCAGCAAAAAATCATTAGTAAATTCTACAAGAGAATGACCAAATTTTTGTGCATGAGCTGATGAATGTAGGTTATGCAGCATAACATACTGGTGCATTTACAACAAGAAGACTAAAAAAGAAGAAATGTAATGTTTTTGGAGTGGCCAAATCAAAAGCTTTACCCTAACCCAACTGAAAAGTTATGGCGTGATCTGTCATGCAAGACAGTGCAAAAACAACATTGAGCTGAAGTAATTTTGTACAGTGGAATGGCCATTAGTTCAGAATACTGCTGAACTAATATGCCAGATTTATCAGCATATTGAGGAAAAGATTGGTTGAAAGCTGCTAAACTTCCTTAAAGTTTCAGGTTTTTCAACAATTACAATATTGACTCACTACCTTCAGTCAAAAGACATGGCACAAACTATTGTTTTGTAATTAGTTTAAGTGAAAATTCTGTCAAAGGCTTAAATGAAACTCAGAACACATTGTAGGTTGCAAGTTCTAGGATTTTTGGATACTTCTAAAGTTTTAACAAACTTTGAATACTGAAGTTGGAGAGGATCACCATAAAGATTCTCGATGGATGTTCTTGGCCTGTTTCTGCTTAAATTGTTTTATTATCTCTGGGATTTCTAGGTCATTGGATTGAGTGAGAAATATGCTTCCTTGTTAATTTGGCAAAAGAGCCATGGCACTTTCTTCTCCGCTCAATTCCGTCTTTCATTTTTGGGGAATCGAAATCATCCTGGCCATAATTTTCAGGGTGTCGTATGTGGTGGCCTGGGTTCATTCAGATATATAGGACGGAGATATTTTTAAATTGGTAAATACAATGTGAGTGATGGGAATAGATAGGGGATATTTATAAAAAGTAAAGAAAAGAAAAAAACAGACTTTTATTATTGCATGCTCACCTATATCTGTCTTTTGTCTCTTGCAGATGTTTATTGCACAGAGCCATTCCGCATCCCCTTTGCTGGCAAGGTCCAGATTTGCTGCTTTGACAAAACTGGCACACTCACCAGTGACAACCTTGTGGTGAGAGGTGTGGCTGGGCTTAGGTAAATCCAGGCTGAGGGAAGCAAAGTTGTTTGGAATTTTTTCGGGCCCATTGACTTACCCACGGTTTCCTTTTTGTAGTTTCCTAATTTCCTAAGAGATTAGTTATGTTTAAGTTGGGAGTCAGTTGTTTGAGCCTGTGGCCTTTTGATCTTATTGTAGAGACGGGAAAGAAGTGACACCTGTGTCAGACATTCCAGTTGAGACTCATCGGGTCATTGCCACATGTCATTCCTTGATGCAGCTGGACGATGGGACACTGGTGGGTGACCCACTGGAGAAAGCCATGCTAACTGCTGTGGATTGGACTCTGACAAAAGGTAGGCTGGGGTAGCTCCTGAGCGCCCTAAAGCAGCTTTTCCTGCTCTCTGTTTTTATAAGACCACGGGCATTTTACAGAAACATGCAGTAGATTTTCTTTTATTTTAATTGAAAATTTAAAAAAAGCTTTTACAAATATTTACCTCCCCTCCCCCACTCGAACCCAACCCCCCCAACCTTCCCCCCCCCCCGACTTCCCAGAACAAATAGAGGATGTAAATCTTTAACAAACATATTCTAAACTAAACTTAAAGAAAGTCTGTTATCATCTTTCATTTGAGCTTTAACTCCTCTTTTGTTAGGCTAACTCTAAACATTATATCGTTCCTCGCTTTTTCAGTCATAAACTATCTGGAATTTCTTAGTCCCGTATTTATTTTGAGTATAGTCTATCTTCTCCACTCCAGTTTATATTTCTCATCTGATTTTCTGAGTTGCAAGAAACTAAGAATGTAAATGCCCATCTGTGTTCTACGATAACAGACTTTATTTGGGCCATGTACAGAGAATATGTAGAATATGTAGAGAATAACTCGAATGTGTAGAATAACTTTTTTTTAAAAAAAAATGGGTTATCTGCACTTTTGTTGTTGGAATTTGTTAATTTAATCCTACATTATCAGCTTAAAGTCAGTTTGTAAATTCACTGGCCATATAAATATAACTGGGAAACTCACAGTAGGTGGACCTTAAACTCTTCCCTTAAATAATATCCCATTGAGTCATCTACTGTGAGTGTTCCCTGGCAAGAAAAACAAGCAGGAGAAATGATTGCTAGCTAAACAGTATACTTGATGGTATATAGTTGTATACTATATACATCTTCAAAAGCAGCTTTTCAAGATTTAAGAGATGCCCAAGAAAAGTACAGTTGATGTACTGAGAATATCAGTGACACTTTGCCTGTTCCAACATCTGTTGTAATAGTTTCTTGAGCTCAACATTATATATTTCCTACATTCCCTTTACAAGTTTTTAATGAGTACATCTCCTTAACTTTTATGTCACAAGATCCTTCCCCTAGAACTATTATTGCTGAGAACCAAATCAGGTATGGAATTCTGATCCTAGTCAATTTAGACATATTTCACAGTTTATTAGCAAAAAGAAAAAGAAAAAACCTTTTCTCTATCTCTTTCCTTATGCAAAAAAAATGTTTTTTGCAATGTAAGTGAACCAACATATGGAACTACATGGTTTTCCCAATATAAATGTGTACATTGCAAAACATTGCATCTTTCACAACCAGTTCACCTTGGGGAATATTCAAATCATCAGTTTCACACCATTCTCCTCTATTATAATGGAGCTAGCAATATCACTAGCAAAACCTACTGATTTAAATGTCCTGCTGATCATGCCCTTTTGCCGTGTGTGTTCTTGAATGCCTCCACATTTGCCTATTGTTTTGTTTTGGTTTTGTGCCTTTAAGTCAGTTTTTGAATCCTAATGACTGCCTGGATTAGTGCCTGCAGTTTTCTTGGCCAAGTTTTTTCGGAATTGGTTTGCCCTTGTCTCCTTCCTAGGGCTGAGAGAATGTGGCTAGCTCAAGATCACTCAGCTGGCTTTTGTGCCCAAGGCAGGACTAGAATTCATGATCTTGTGTTTTCTAAACTGATGCCTTCACCACTATACCAAACTGCAAATATCCTATGGATCGCTGCCTGAATTCCTACCGCTCTTGATTCTGGAGACTGCAGTACATTGAATATATTTTATGGGTCTAGGATGCCCAGTCTCTGAGAGCTACTGTAAAGGGATAACGTGATTAGGGTCCCATGGTTGAAGAAGGGGAGAAGATGTTCTCCTGGCATTTAGATAAATGGTACAAACAAGGGCTGCTTTTGTCTCCAAACAATCCCCTCCCCCTGGGAATCCAAAGGGAAGATTACCGCTTGTAATGTTGAACCCTTTCAGGATTTCCCGATCTCTTTGTTTCCAGATGAGAAAGTTTTCCCCCGAAGTATTAAAACTCAGGGACTGAAAATTCACCAGCGCTTTCATTTTGCCAGTGCCCTGAAAAGAATGTCGGTCTTGGCTTCCTATGAGAAAGTCGGCTCCACTGATCTGTGTTACATTGCAACTGTGAAAGGGGCCCCGGAGATGCTGCATAAAATGGTGAGCTCTTGTCTGCAAATTCCTTCCCTTTGTGCATGTGGTGTTATTCTTTTGAAAGGTAAATGGTTTCGAAATATTTTACATGAAACAGTATATACATTTTAACAAACATTTTTTCAAGTTGTAGGACAGGATAGGACAGAATAGTTGGAAGGGACCTTGGAGGTCTTCTAGTTCATCTCCGCTGCTCAAGCAGGCGACCCTACACCAGTGATGGTGAACCCTTCTGGCACTGAGTGCCCAAACCAGAATGTGCGCACACTGGAGCACCAGAAACCCAAAGATGAGCTGGCTGATGCGCATGCATGGGCTGACACCTGGTCTTTGGGTTCACACGTGAGGAGCAGCTGGCCGGCGTGCATGTTCACACCAGAAACCAGAAGAGCAGCTGGCGATGGCATGCATGCCCACAGAGAGGGCTCTGTGTGCCACCTCTGGCACGCGTGCCAGAGGTTCACCATCACTGCCCTACACCATTTCAGACAAGTGGCTGTCCGGTCTCTTCTGGAAAGCCTCCAGGGACGAAGCACCCACAATTTCTGAAGGCAAAACAGTTCCATTGTTGAATTGTTAACCAGTGGAACAGTTAATGGGATTAATTAATTACACACCTATGAAATTGATGCCTTGAATGTATGCAAATCTGAGTTGCTTTGGCATGGGAAATTCTGAATGGCTTTTGGATAGCTGCACAAAGAAGCTTGCGTTTGTTGCGTGTGCCTAATTGTTGATGATATTTCAGTTGGTCAAACCAGATAGAGTTGGGAAAGAAAACTCCAACTACACCATTGCCACATACAAGTGGAGAAATCTGTGTAATTACTGCAGAAAATCATAGCCTGTACGTTTCACCTCCACCCATGTTTCCATTTTGAATGGTCATCAGTTTTTAATTGTGAGAACATTTTTCCAAGTCTTGGAAAATAATTTTCAGAATACTATGACGTAATATTACCGTAGATGGGAACAGAGTGAGAACAAAGTCTTGGCTTTACTCACCAGATTGGAATGTGATACAACTAGTAAGTTAAGAGTTGCAATCAATGATCAGCTGTGCTCCAGTACTCTGGAAAGGAGAATAAGATGGAGTCGGTGTTTGTTGCTGATTACTCGGTTCCACCACAAAACCACGGACGACAAAATCGCGCTCGACGAAAGCGCGTACGTGACNATAATTATAATCGAATTTTAAATGTTATTGTTAATCTTAATTGGGTTTGTTTTTTGGATACTCTATCTAATTTTTTTTAACTTTTGTAATATGTGTTTTTTTTTTAATGTTGTATGCCGCCCTGAGTCCTTTGGGAGAAGGGCGGCATATAAATCCAATAAACAAACAAACAAACATGATAGTTAGTGGCATCCCATGTTTACATGACCGCAATTTGCAACTTTTTTGCCAGTTTCCAGCAAAAAAGTTTCCATTAGAGAGAATGGCCTTTCTTAAGGACTGCTACCATAAATAAATAAATAAATAAATAAATAAATAAATAAATAATCAGGTGTAGTCATATGGTACCTTGGCATACGACTGCAATCTCTTATGACCATAATTCTGGAGTTAATTACAGTCATAAATTGAGGACTATCTATACAGAATTATGATCATTGAGAACCTGTGCCCTAGGTAATTTTATATAAATTTTCTTTGTTGGTTCTTTATTTCCCATTATAGGAATTTGTGATCACAACACTGAAGGGACTTGGCTATGTGACTCTGATGTGTGGGGATGGCACCAATGATGTGGGGGCTCTGAAGCATGCTGATGTGGGTGAGTGTTCATTCATTTAAAGATTGTTGTTTTGATGAAAACCATTCCTGTTTGTTGGGAGTTTTAATTGCTTCATTATTAACTTTCCATGAATTGGGATTTTTAAAAAAAGATACTTTATTTTGAAGTGATTCATGCATTCATTGGAACAAGCATCTGAGAAGCATTCTAAAATGTGTTGCTGTAAATTGTACGTTATCTGCTGACCAATTATAGTCTAATTTATTCAATTGTTACTGTCTTTTAACTAATTGGACTACTTGATTAAACATTTAGTAGTATTTCTTCCCAACTAATTTGTTATTGATAATTCTGCGAGGTGAATCAATTAGTTTGATTAAAAGTCCCATCAGTGCGAAGTTAAACCAATCATCCTGTTTAAATGTATTTATTTAAGGAATTTATTCATTGTATTATATTTATATATTTCTATTATATTTATATTTATACAACCAAATCAAATTTGTATTTATGCTTCAAAATCTTTGTCTAAAAAGGTCAGTTTCCATATTTCTGCATTCAATGTAGTTTTTTTATTTCATATTCTATAAATGATAGCAGACAAAGCATGCTAAATATTATTACTATCCATGTTTCATGATCATCGGTTTCTGACCCATTAAAACCTTCATATTTTGCCCTGTTTTCATCTGCCCTGAAAACAGCTCACGGGAGACGCTTGTGTCATCAGGGATATGATTCATTCTTGCAGGTGTGGCTCTACTAGCCAATGCCCCGGAGCGAATCCCCGAGCGCAGAAAAAAGCCTCGTGATGGAGTAGCTGATGGGAGACCTGCTACCTCCTCTTCTCTTGCTGCCAGCAACATGAGGCCCACCTCCCGAGCTGCCAAACAAAGGCTCATGTCTCTTAGGGAGGAGCAACTTGCTGTACAACGAGTAGGTTGTTAGATCTGTTTTATTTCTCTTGTCTCTTGCCGCTAGCCTCACTTATGCTTTTGCATATATTTTCCTTTTTGAACTGCCGGGGAGGATGGTGGTGAAAGACAGAACTTCACCTACAAATCCTTATTCAGCGCAGGTAGAAACAGGACTCAAATAAATTCTAATTGTAAGAATTCCAGCTCAGTGCAGCTGGAATTTCTTAAATTCCCAGTGCTTTTGGATTAAACAGGGTTTGTGCTCTTCTCTTTCTTTTTCCTGAAGAACAGCTGTTTTCCATATTGGGGTTTATTCTAGAGATAGAGGTAGTACTCAACTTATGACTGCTCGTTTAATAATGGACTGGAATTGAAACAGCCTCAGAAAGGTTGCTTTTTGGCCATCGCACAACATTACATCACCAGTCCCCACAGTCACATGATTGCAATCTAGATGCTTGGCAACCTGTTTGCATTTATGGCCAATTGCAATTGTGTGTTTGCTATATGCATTCTCTGTTGGCTTCCCCAGAAAATTAATGGGGAGGCCAGCAGAGAAGTTTGGGAGTTGTCCCTGGGGGCTGGCTGAAAGAGTTGCCTAGCGGAGCTGAATTCCTATGTTGGGACGCGTAAACAGAACTCAAATTCTGAAGATATTGCACCCTGCTGAAGAAGTTCTTTCTGCACACAGAGGAGAGCTGAACTCTTTTGGCAGGCAGCTTTGTCAGCCAGCTGCCAGGGACAAGAGGAAGTCAAAATGCATGCAGAGAATGTAAAGGCAGGGCAGTTATAGTAAGGTGCGTGAGATCCCTTGACAGGGTTGTACTGGGAGGCATGGCGCAGGTCATTTGTAAGTGTCTCTCTGCTCAGGGGCTGAAAATCCTGCTTGGATTTTGGTAGGGGGAAATACTAGCTCCTGAACAGAGCCTCCTGAGGCACCCTACATTCCTTACTTGGGACTTGGCTTAAGATAGCTTAACAACCACAGTTGGCAGTGCCAGGATTGAGCAAAGCAGTTATATGAGTGTGTCATTTAATGAATGTTTAACTCAACTATCAAGATTCTGATCCAAATTATGGTTGTAAGTTGACGACTACTTGTAATGCTACAAATAGCTTGATGGGGAGCTTGCTGTGCATTGAACAAGGATGTTTCCTCCCCCCCCCTTTTTTTTTCTGGCAGGAGAGAATCAGCCAGGTGCTAAAAGATTTGGAAGAGGACCAAGTACCCATTGTGAAGTTGGGTGATGCCAGTATTGCAGCTCCATTCACCTCTAAGCTTTCCTCTATACAGTGCAGTAAGTATGAGAAGAAGGAAGTCTATGCTTAGAGTGGAACATTGTGCACTTAAAGGTCCACACTTCATTTTTATAGCAGTGGCATATATTCATTTGGATGTTTTATAGTGAAAAATAGATAGTAACCTGTTGTGACTCAGCAGATGTCTGCTGTGAGTCTTTTCGGGATACAAGATTCATTATGCAGCTGGGGCTTGTTAGAGGCAGGTTTGGAGATAAAAGGACGGATGCTGCCACGCCCTAGTCGCAGGAGTCAACGTTCCTTCGTGCGTACAACATTGCTTGATACACTTGGATAAGTGCTTTGGTGTTTNTGTTTTCGTCGCGCTGTGATGACGTCACGTACGCGCTTTCGTCGAGCACGCTTTAATCTACCGCGGTTTTGTGGTGGAACCTGTCCAGTGAGGAGGACCCTGAACTTCTCAGTGTGCGTGCTGGAAGTCTCTTTTGTATCCCATAGTGACATGTGTGTCCTTCCTACCGCCACACCCTTTTATGTGAACGCAACTATGAGTTGGCGGCTTAGTGATTTTTCTCTCAGCAGTATTTATTGTAATGGTTGCTGTCTTTTTGTGCAGTTCTCTCAGTGCCCAAGTACCTACGATGCTATTCACACAGAGATCTCACGTGAGGGAGCCAGAGTTTTGGCTCTTGGCTACAAAGAATTGGGGCACCTCACTCATCAGCAGGTAAGTTTCAAAACTTCCCCCGCAGCTCATATGTGCCATAAGATATATTGGTGCTTTGGGACATACACTCAATGAATGATACTCTATCTAACTCAATAATCCCGTTAGATTTATAGGTAATGGCTTACATGCTCCCTTTTGAAAATGGGGTGTTCTTTCCTTTCATGTCACACTTTGGGCTGGGGAGAGCACTGGGAGCAGCCAACTTAATTGAATTATTCCATTTTTTTCTTAGTCACAAACCATCCTCTGCATATTCTGGAGGTCTCATTGAAGACTGACAGAAGAGTAAAGTCTGTCAGTGCCTCCTTTCTTAATGTGAAGCCTTCCTCTCCTCTAATTGTGGGAAAGAACTACAGAATTCTAAATAAGCAGAGGGAAGGCCACTTCTCATTCATGAGGCAAATTTACAATCAAGTCTGCTTTTCAGGGGCAGGGGTGGTGGCGGCTTAGGCAGTATTGTGATCAGTGGTGGGATTCAGTGGGTTTGGACCGATTCGCATTGTTAAATTGCCACCACCACCACCTCCGGCTATCAAAGTGGATCCGCCGCACTGCAATGGAGAAAAGGGCAACGGAGCAGTCAGCGCGAGGGAAGGAGAAGGCCGATTTCTTCCTTCCCTCGCGCCAGCCACTGTGTTTCCTGTTTCTCCATTGCAGAGCAGTGCCCAGGATCCCCTTTGATAGCGGGGGAGGGGGATTTAACAACTGGTTATCCCAGAGTCTGGTTAGCCGTCGTGGGAGGCTTGTCCCACATGTGCGCCGGAGATGGGCCACATGCCTCCCACAACAGCCAACCTGACCCTGGGCAGAACCGGTTGTTAAATTATTTGAATCCCACCACTGATTATGATGCGGCACTCAGAAGGCAAGTGGCAAATGGTTGCTACTTGGAAAGCTGCTCTGTAACAGATGCACAAGGCAATGGAGAGGGTGAGGGGGTTAGAAAGGGAGCAAGAGGGCAAAATAATTAGCCGTAGAAGTGCAGGCAGCATGGCCTTGGATAGCAAAGCCTTTCGTCAGCGATTGCAGTACTGTACAGAACTGTGCAAATCAGGAGGTACAGCCTGCTGTCCCTGTAGACCAGGAAGCAAGCAAGCAATACAGAGAGAAGCAAGCAAAGCAAAAAGCATGAATGGAGCAAATGGTGTGAATTAGCTTCCTGGGTATGATGAGATGGTTCTGGGATATAAACCCTCCTAAATTGAAATGCACTGCAAAGTTTAGACTGAGAACTAAACCTGAGGACAGATGGTTTCCAGTGAACTTAAAGAGCAGGAGAAAAGCAGGGAGGGGGGGCAGTTGTGTTGGAATGGGTTGTTCTAGGAAGGGGGCCTACTGGCAGAGGCTGTATTCATGCGTTGTATTATGGCATGGTTGGCTTTGTTTAATTTAAAAAAAAAGCACATTGGTTATTGTATGGGATGCAATAGGCCCAAATCCGTAACCAATTGGAAATCAAGGCTCACGTAGGTATATTACTTCCATTAAACCTGGAAGTCGTAAAGATGTTGGAGCCAGGAGGAACAAAAATATTTAAATATAATCTGGATTTATTTCTTAAATACACTTAATTATGTGACTTTTAGGAAGGCGTGCAATAAGTTTCAATTTATTGGGGGGCAGAGTTTGAGGTTGGGGGAGTGTTATATTATTGTAAAAATGTCTTAGCTATAATCGGCTTTTGTGTTTCCTATCCAAAGGCACGAGAAATAAAGCGGGAGGCCCTGGAATGTGACTTGAAGTTCACAGGCTTCATTGTGGTTTCCTGCCCTCTTAAAGTCGACTCCAAGCCAGTTATCCGTGATATACTTAACGCTTCCCACCGTGTGAGTTGTGGCTGAGAAACTGGACGGAACCAAGAAGAGGGGCCTAGGCAAATGTTTGAGCCAGTTTGCATAATTTCACGAATTCTTCCTAATTCTTCCTCCCCCCTCTTCACGTTTGTTGGATCTGCCCTGCTCTTTTGTCACCTCCTCCAGTCCAAAGGGATAAAACATATTACAGATTGCATCTTTTTGTCTTAAATAAATTGGCTAGGGCAGCAGAATAACTCTTCAAGAAGAGTATACGGACATTCTCAGGCATCCAGGTCGTGGTTGTCCCAACGGTGCTTTTTTCAAGAGGCAACTGGACTTTCTGGTTTTTCTTTGAAGACGTTTCGCTTCTC